GATTCGTTATGTGACAAAAGAGAAGATACTGCGGCTGCTGCGGCTATTTCGTAGATCATCACCCGAACTTCGGGGGGTGCTCCTGGCTGATTCGTAAACCGTAGCACAGGCTATTTTTTCAAAATTTGTCGTCCATGGGATTTGAACTTTAGACCTGCCACTTGGAGAGGGTAACGACTAGATATTATAAATTATATTTTAAAAATCAATATTTAAAGAGTTTGTTAAAAAATAGTAAAAACTTTTTTAATCAATTAGTCTATTATGATTATCAATTAAATAATCGATTAATTAATTATGTATTAATTATGATTGGCTTTATATGCATTTTTTTGAAACTTTTTAACTATTTCTGTATTCAAATTCTTAGTACATAGTATTTTTTTATTAAAGTTACTTATAAGAACACTCTTTGGAAGTATTACTTTAACACAATTGCATTGTGTTTATTTTACTACTCTGAAAAAAACATCAGATTACACTGTTTGAAACATTAATATAAATACTTTGGAACACAGATTATATATGTAATACAGTAAACCTCTATAAGTGCATACTTTTGGGGCCAAATTTTAACAAATGCACTTAGAAAGTGATAAAAGAAAGCTGCTATCTATAGAAATTCATATACAGTTAGATCTTTCTAAATGCACACCCTTGGGACTACACCTAAAATAATGTGCATATAGAAAATAATAAGAAAATGAGTATAAAGTTTGGAAAACTCTCTCCGGTTCATCACCGGATCACAATAGAAACAAAAATCACTAGCAAAAACTCTATAGTTTCTTTACTAAATTCTGTCAGGGCAAAAGCCCTTTAGCCGACCAAACACAAATTTGTTACATTAGACATGGGCAAACATTCTAACAAGAAAGCTAAGCTTTTAGATAACAACAAAAAAGAAAATAAAGAAAACAAAGAAAAAATCTTCCACTTCGCAGAAAACAATGAACCTAGAGTTGGCAAACTCCATGTCTCTGGTCTTAAGGGCTCTGAGAAATTAAAAGAACTAGAACCTAATAAGGCCAACACTGATGAAATAACTCAAACAAATGAGAAAGACAAATGAAAAACGGTACAAACCATGACTGACAAGAAAAACAAGATTAAAGTCTCAAGCCCAGATGGCAATGCAGGGTTAAACTCAATGGAACTAAAAGAATCGGATGCCTTAAATGCTACAAGTAGCTAGGCAACTCAAGTCGAAGAGGTTCAACTTGAAACTGTAGGCAAGAGCAAAAACACCTCTCAAAGCATGAATAAAAATAATAGCATAAACAAAACCAAACATGTGAATTAAAAAAATGATGCAAATAATGATGTATACATGATTCTGGTAGCCGATAATCAACTAGTAACACATGTGCACCCTGCATATGAGAAACATAAAGAATCTGCCATGGGTGCTTTGGCAAGTACACAGTTCTCCATAAAGGCCAACACAACTCCAACACGAGTTACTAAACCAAAACAATGGTCTGATCTGTTCACCAAATTCAAAGGAGGAAAAGCTAGCTTTACAAACATATTGCCAAGACACAAAATTCACTCAAGAAACAATAGTGCTTTAATCATTGATATCCATAGCCTAAGCAATGTTTTCACCAATGATATAATTGCAACATTAGTGATTAAACTCAATGGGAACCTTATAGCTGCAAAGAAAACGGGCTTCTTTCGAGCTAATCTTCAATAGTATAGAGAGAGCACAATTCTATGCCATGGAGGGAATTACAATCTTTCAACAAACCTTTTTCAGATACATTCTCATAAACCTTAAACGCTCCTTCCTTACAGTAAAACTTAGAAATATGCCAATAGGCAACACAGATCACACCACAAGTCTCATCCTCGAAGCATTCCAAAATGTTGGTCAAATTGCCGCAATTAAGCCTCTTTTATTTGAAGGAACAACTATTAGCTCAGATCAATGGCTAATCACCTTTGAAATAACTTATGACCCTCAGAATTCCGAGAACTATTCACGTAGGAGACCACAAAGTGTCAACTGAGTAGAAGGAAGCCCTGAAAGTTTGTCATTACTGTGAGAAGGAAGGCTACATCAAAAAAGAGTGTAGCGAACTCAAGGCCTCAATAGAAGTGAGACGCTTACTTGAGGCAGCCAGACAAAGGAAACAAGATGCAGAGACCTGCAGTACAACCACTACGAACTTTGCGTTCAGCCCAAACAATCTCTATAACAAAGACACCTCTGAAAATATGGTAACAGAAACCTCACCTGAGAGTATAGATACATCAATCACCTCAAAGGCAAATACTAAAGATAGAGAACTACAAAACATGAAAATTGAACCAAAAGCAATAACAGAAACTTCACCTGAGTATAGATATATCAACTGCCTCAAAGGCAAATACTAAAGGTGGAGAACCACAAAACATGCAAATCGAACCAAAAGCAACAACAGAAACCTCACCTAAGTATATAGATATATCAATTATTTCAAAGGCAATTACCAAAGGTAAAGAACCACAAAACATGGAAATTGAACCAAAAGCAATAACAGAAAGGACAGTCAAACCCATACCAGATACCTTAATAGGAGATACCCTTCAAACAAGCTGGAGTTTGGTTCCACTCTTAACAGCCCACAAGAAGCACCTTTCATAGTTGTTTCTTATAAAAGGCCAAAAAACAAGAATGATAAAAAAAAAGATAACAAGGTTAGGAAACACCCTTACCCAGTTCAACAGCATAAGGCCTCCAGGAGCACCCAACAGGGTATGCCTGAACCAGGAAATCAACACTAGGATCCTCTACTCTTAGTGTAGCTTTATACCCCATTTCTCTATTATGTTCAAAGCTGCTACACTTAATGTAAAAGGTCTAAATAACAGACCTAAAGCTCAAAAAACACTAACACTTCTCAAATCATATAATCTTGACATTATCTTAATTCAAGAAACCAACCTCAAAGATATTAAAACAAGAATTAGCAATGGGAATACAGCTCAATCTGGTTCTCAAAAATGGATATTCTAGCTAGCAAAAGAAATATAGAACTTACCAAAATTTAGGAATCTCAAGACGGCCATATAATTTTTGTCAACACGGAAATCAACCAACAACCATTCAAGTTTACTAACATATATGCACCCCAAGACAGGAGGACAGGGTTCATTTCTTTGAAGAATGGACACCAAATATAACAAATAAAAGAATATGCATTATTGCTAGTGACTTTAATACCAACCTGGACTCACAAAAGGACAAAATAAGTAATGCAACGATACAACCTGATCACTCATGTGACATGGTACAAACCCTCCTAACTGATTACACAAACACAGTCTTATCTTCTAATAAGAGTCCCTTTCTCACCTATCAATCTACTCACAATAGCCAGAGAATAGCAACACGCCTTGATTATATCTTCATTGAAGCTAGTTTTAGTCATCTTTGCAAGAACACCTGCACAAGATTTGGAAATTCTGACTATCTTCTGGTAGAGTCGGAATTTAGCTTTAAATCATCACATACCTTTGGCTCACAATGGAGATTCAGGAACATCCCGGAGCTTAGAGTGGGTATCCTGGGGAAAATACAAGAAACCCATGACACCTCAGACTGGAACTACTGTAAGTGCAAAATTCAATCGTTAATAAGAGCCCACAAACCTGGCCCCCCCTGAAAAAAATATCCAAAGATTACACAAGAGGTTGTGCAGCCTAAATAATAAGATTGCTCAAAGCCCAAATCTAGCAGACCTCAAGCTAGTAACAAAAGACCTTAATCTAAAATTGCAGGAAGAATTAGTGCACTTCTTAGAAAGATGGCAGATTAGATCTAATGCCAAATGGATTGAAGAGGGAAAAAAGTTGACAAAGTATTTCTTCGCACTCTATAAAAAAAGACATTCCACTACGAGTTGCTCTAAAATAAAAGACCTGAACAACCCTGACAGTCATTTTCAGGCACAAACTTTAAATTTTATATTAAGGACTACTACCAAAAGATTTACAAAAAGAAAGCTATTGATAAGGAAGTAGCCCTTCATCTTATGGAAAATCTAGTGCAGGTTTCCTCAGAACAAAATCATACTCTAACCAAGTTAATTACTGAAGAGGAAATTGCCCAAATAATTAATAAACTTCCTAGTAGCAAGGCTCTAGGCTCTGATGGCCTCACGTACAAATTCTATAAGGATACAAAGGAGACAATTACTCCAATCCTTGCCAGGATTTTTAACGAGGTTCTTAGCACAGGCCAGATCCCAAGGTTATGGGGCAGAAGTCTAATCACATTAATCCCAAAAAGAACAGTGAGCTAGAAAACATTAACAATTGGAGACCAATTTCTTTGGGCAAAAATCTTTAGCAAACCAAATTAACCCAATCTGTAATGATATTATTGGCCCAGCACAGCAGGCTTTTATTGCCAATAGGTTGATTATAGACTCAGCAATGGATATTCTTACAACACTAAGGAGCCAGGAAGACCAAATCAAGGAACACTGGCTTCTTCTACTGGATCAACAAAAGGCCTTTGACAGAATTAGTCATGATTTTATAAATACAATGTTGGAAAAAATGAATTTTGACTATAAATTCATTAGTGTTATCATAGCTCTGTTCTCTTTGCAGATAGTGCACATAGTTGACTCAGGACAAATCTCTGAGCCAATTAGGGTTGAGAGAGGGGTAAGGCAGGGGGATAGTGTTCCAAATTGCTAGTTGGAAAACCGAATAGTTGACAACTTTCCAACTAATTGGTTAGAAAATTTTTTAATCAACTAACCAACTAATCATTCAATTAATATAATTCCAAGGTATTCTGCTTATTCAGGA